GTTGACTTCAATGTTCACTTTTATATTTATATTTACATATGCATATCTCTGTTATTGAGCACTTTATACCATAAATATAGCATACGTTACTACTATATTATTTCATATATATATATAATATATATATATATATATATATATATATATATATATATATATATAATATATGTATTCAATAATCTTTATTCCTCTCTCTCTCTTTCTACATATATATTATATATATATATATATATATATATATATATATATTTACTTGATCTGATCTCATATATATAATATATTTTTGTCATCACTGATAGCCCAATTCAATTTCACTCTCAATGCAATTGCATTATGCATGAAACTTAGAGTTGTGCTATTGGTGAGGAATAAAATGCATTTTTATTATTAATATAAATTATAGCTCTGTTATTACACATCGAGCACTATTTTATTAGCACCAGCACCCAATGTGCGATGTTTCATATATAGCAGTCCATTTTATTTAAAGTGGGGGTGGATGAAATTAATAAATATTTATTTATTATTTTAAATAAAAATATTAAATATGAGGAAAAAATGTATATTTATTATTAATACATGTTTTTATTTTAACAGACCATGTATCTTTTACAACACAAAAACAAAAATTACCTCAACATAAGTATAGTCTCTTTTAAACCGTTCTTCACACGACTCTCATCAACCTCTAAGTCTTAAGGGTTAGAGGCTGACAATAGCTGTGTGAAGAACGTTTTGAAATAGACTATACTTATGTTGAGGTAATTTTTGTTTTTGTTGCTGTAAAATATGTATGTATGTATGTATATATATATATATATATATATATATATATATACAAATTTGGATATACGATCCCGACAAAGTCTAAAAGTTTTGACAATTGGAAAACGTTCATGAAAGTATACTTGTTCTGAAATATATCCAATTATGCATTTCATCCTTTAAGGATCCATCAGATCCAAAAGCAAAAAAATGAGATGTTTGTATATGTATTTGTGTATATTTAAATAATTAAATCTTATTATTTTTATGACTAAAAAAGAAAGAATATGAGTGACTTTTAAAAAAATCATTAACATTTATTTTCTTTACTTTCAGTTTTCGAGCCAAAAAATATCATCCTTCAGAATGAGTAAAAAGTAAAAGATTTAGTTTTTTTTTATCTATGCGTTTTCTGTATCAACAGTATATTTTAAAATTCAGATACATGATCCCGATTTATTAATTATTTTCTCTCTCATAATACATTGCGCTATTTTTGTGGATCAGTTTTAATATTTTATATTACTAGGATCCACTTGGATTATATACCAATGGATTTGTTACTTTTTATATATATATATATATATATATATATATATATTTTGAAGAAATGAAGAAATGGAAAAGCTTTTTATTGACAACATGTTTTGCCTTTGGGTCACTATATATATATATATATATATATATAATAATATCATAATGTTTAAAGTGATACAAATATGTATGTATGTGTGTATATATATATATATATATATATATATATATATATATATATATATATATATATATATACACACAAATTTGGATATATGATCCCGACAAAGTCTAAAAAGTTTTGACAATTGGATTTTTCTAATAAATCATTTTTGTTTACATTTGGACACTATGAAAAATGTTGAGAGATCCTTGACAAAAGTTTTGACAATTGGATTTTTCTAATAAATCATTTTTGTTTACATTTGGACACTATGAAAAATGTTGAGAGATCCTTGACAATAGAAATTTTGCTTAAAAGCATCAATTTTGAACACATCTGACTGTCCCTTCATGGGCAAAGTGGTATAGGTGCACTGGGCTAAACAGTGGCTCTTTCAAACCTGAAAAGTTCAATTCCTGCCAAAGAGTGCAAATTTTTCTTTAATAAGATATCTCAAAATTTCAGGGCCGTAGGTGAATATAAATAAATATACTGTTTAATATGAGTATCTATTCATTATAATGTTTAAAGTGATATGCATATCACTGCCAATTCAAGAAAGACATTCGGATTACTAACACAAAAACAGAAAATGTCTCATATCGAGAATATTTAACATCGAAAAACATAAAGGAAAAAAAATCAATTATTTTTAATAATATGTGGAAATACAATAAATAGTAGAAATATTCTTATATATATATATATATATATATATATATATATATATATATATATATATATATATATATATATATATGGGGGGGTATGTGTGTGTGTGTGTGTAAAAATTTTAGTTAGAGTATCTTTGTAAAAGGACAAAATGAATAAAGTCAAAAGCAAATCTTATCTCATAGATAAGATTTCCTTCTATGCCAAAATATTTTTGAAAAAAACATTTTTGCTCTAGTATATAAATACATGTCACAAAATAAAATACTTACATTTGCCTTGATAAAGTCCCTCAGAGGACAAAATGCGTTGGCTAAGATAAGTTTTCCTTTTGTATTTATTCATATACATATATATATTATGAAATGGACAAAGTCCAACAGTTATTTAAACACATTTTTATGTTTATACATTCTTTTTATAGATACAAATATTTAAGTAAATGCTCTGTTTATAACAAGCCGTATTAACATTTACTGGCCTGTCAGAGGACGCATATTTTCTATGAAAATTTCTCGGACATTCAGGCCGGTAAATGATGTTAATACTGTTTGTTATAAACAGAGCATTTACTTAAATATTTGTATCTATAAAAAGAATGTATAAACATAAAAATGTCTTAAAATATATATATATATATATATATATATATATATGCAATAATAAAATGAGTGTTACCGCCCAAGAAGGTAAAAAATGCAAGTGTTCAATGTCAAAAAAAGCTTATTATATGAAATAATAAATTAGTTTTCGTTGCTACATACACCGCCACTACTCGTGTAATTGCGGCAGTCGTTAGGAGGAAATTAATACTTAATTAATAAATTATTAAATTCCACCTGAAGATTGCCATAATGACCTGAAACTCTGAATAGCTGAAGAGGAATGCAGCAACACAAACTTAATATTTAATATTAATATATTATATATTAATATATTAATATTTAATATTTAATAATATAATTAAATGGGTAAATAAGTTTATGTAGACATCTCCATGTTTTAACATACATAGGTACGGTCTGTGAAATTTATAATAAGAAATAATTTTAGATTACAAAATTCATTAACTGTTTAAAATATATATATATATATATATATATATATATATATATATATAATACATAAAATGTTAATGGTCAGAATTGAATTAGACCAGGAAACAGTAGTATAAAAAAAGTGCTCAATACACGTGTAAAAAAACAAAATTAAAAATAAAAAATAGATATTTTTAAAGTTTATTATATATATATATATATATATATATATATATATATATATATATATATATCTAATCCTCACTGGGTGCCCATACTTTTGGCCTTGTGCCACATCTAAGCTATGCTTGTAAAATCACTATATATATATATATATATATATATATATATATATTCATTCATATATATATATATATATATGTGTGTGTATATTTATCATATATTTTTTTAAAATAATTATAATTTAGGCAAAACTTGTGTATTGAGCACTGTTTTTTAAAAATAAAAACAAAAATATTAAAGAACTTTGGATTATTAACCTAATGGCTCTTTCCTATTTTTCTATATATTTGCACACACACACACACACACACACACACACACACATATATAAAAAATATAATTGTGTATTGGTAGCAATTCATCTTTTATACGAGTTTCATTAAAAATGACTGACAAGATAGTGCAGCTTTTTTTTATTTAAGTTCAAATTTTTTTACTTAATTTTTCTTATGTTCTTATAATTTTCTTTTTTTCTGGATTTTAACAATGTAAAAATTGTCCAAATATTCTGTATGTCCGAGCACTTTCGGCTATAATTTTAGCCATTGTCAAGGATGATTTTATTTTTACTTTTAACTGAATGTATGGATTGTTTTATGAATGTATGAATGTATCTAAAGTTATAGGAAAGTTTTTATTCTACAAACATGGTCAGCACATTGTGGCCATGTTCATAGTTGATGTTATTAAGTGTTGGCTTTTTCTTTTTTATTAATAATGCTTCCATTATTTTTAGCTTTTTTTACATGTAGATGAGACTATTATATTTGCATTACCATAGCTCAATTAGGTGTCATTTAAATACACATGGAGACCTACCAAATTCCATCTGCAACATATTCGCTGATAATACAAAATATAATAGCCTTATCATTCATAAAACAATCCATTTAATCACAGTATCTTGCCAGTAGTTTTTAATGAAACTTGCACACACATACATATATATATATATATATATATATATATAATATTATATACAAAAAAGAATCACTGTAAATATCAATTTTTTTTCCCCTGACTACAAGGTTTCATGGAATTATTTACTCTTCAAGTTCTGTTGTTTGTTGTTAAGTCCTTGAAGAACAGACAATTCCAAGAAATTTTGAAGTCAGAGAAACATCATCAAAAATTCATATTTACAGTTAAGTCATTTTTCTGTATATAATATTATCAATTTTTTTTATATTATTTTAATATTTTTAATATTGAGCACTATATGAAAATATTGGCTTTACTTTTGAACAATTATATTCTTAAATCTTAATTCTTATCTATATATATATATATATGTGTGTGTGTGTGTATATCTGTGTGTGTGTGTTTATTGATTGATTGTTTTGTTTTTTATGGCTTATCAACCTTTTGCAGGTTATTTGAAGCTGGAAAATATTTTAGATTATAAGAATTTTTGGGAGATAATAATGATTTACAGAAATAATTCCTACTAATTATCCCATAGCTGGGGGATAAGAGATGAATTCAAACTTTTCACAAGAGTATTATTTGCATGTAGGTGAATATATATGAACTCGATTGGAATTTCCAATTTTGAATCATTATCCATTACACCACTTGCACATCCAAGCACCTTGTATTCCCAAGTGGTTACCCATCTGGGTACTGACTAGCAGGCTCAACATTGCTTAACTTCAGTGATCATATGAGAATTGGTGTTTCAATATGATATATTCATAATATATATATATATATATATATATATATATATATATATATATATAAAAGCACAAACACTAAAATTTCACGAGGTTATATTTATTTCATTAGGGTCATAAAAACAGCCCCAATTCATCAGACTTTGAAATACAAAAGGAAAGATTTTTCTGTTTCCTTTTGGATATGAAGGTCTGATGAATTGGAGCTGTTTTTACGACCCTAATGAAATAAATATGACCTCATGAAATTTTAGTTTGTGCCTTTTATAATAATAATTATTGCTCTGTTTCTGACATAGAGCTCAGTCTGGATTTATATCCTTTGGAAATATCCATACTGATCACTAATATTATCATTATATATATATATATATATATATATATGTGTGTGTGTGTGTGTGTGTGTAAAAATTTAGATGTAACTAAAAATATATCTGTAAAAATACAATATGAATAAAAAAAAAGGTAAACTTATCTTAGCCAATGAATTTTCAGTGTCTGGTGGGCTTTAACATGACAAATGTAAGGATTTTATTTTGCGATAATTATTTATAAACAAAAATTTTTTAATCTTAAGAACACTCATAAATATTCATAAGGCTAAATGAAAAGGTGAAGTAAATTATGGAAGATTGTTTTCCCTAACTTCGAAGTTGAGGGATATAATCAAAGATTGATATCTAAAGTTAAGTAATCTTTTTATATGATATTATTAATGTTCTATTTTAAATATTACTTTATTATTTTTAATATTAAACACTATATATAAAAATAACTGCCATCTTCTAAATCTTAAATCACACACACACACGCACACATATATATATATATATATATATATAAATATATATATATATATATATAAATATAAAAGTGAACATTGAAGTCAACACTTAGAGGTGATAGTCTGTTTCACGCTAGACACAATCATCAGGCCTGACGATTGTGTCTAGCATGAAACAGACTGTCGCCTCTAAGTTTTGACTTCAATGTTCACTTTTATATTTACACACGCTCTATCTCTGATATTGAGCACTTTATCCCACAAATATAGCACACCTTAAGACTATATTTCTTCATATATATATATATATATATATATATTGTATATATGGAGTTTGTCTGATGATAGCAAAAGCGTGAAACCCAAGGTCACAAACTCACATCCAACCAAATATGTTAGCTCTATCTCTGATATTGAGCGCTTTCTAATAAGTACCACGCATATAATATATAAATAATTATATATATATATATATATTTATCTATATTTATATACACACACTTTTCACATATATATATATATATATATATATATATATATTTAAGCCAGACAACATCCACCCTTCCCTTACCACCACTTTGACTGTTTTGTGTTGTCTGTTTGGTTAGTTCTGTATCAATTTTCCAACTGCTGTCTCTTTTTCAAATATTTAATTTTAAATTTTCTAATTTCAAAACTGAATATTATCCACCATTTGAGTTGAATAATGCTAATGCATTGATGTTAGTTGAAATAGTCTATACTCATGAAGCAATTTTGGATTTCTCTTTTATGTAATATATATATATATATATATATATATATATATATATATATATGTATCTGAATGAATAAAGACAAAAGAAAACACCAGCTTCTTTCCCCCTCTAAAGGCAAATCCAAGGATTTTATTTTGTAACAAGTATTTAAATACAAGATCAAAAATGTTATTGGTTTTTCAAAACTTTTAAGTTTAGGAATGCTCATACATATTCATCAGTTTAGCTGAAAAGTCAGGCAAACTATGGAAGACACAAAGTGACACAACTCAATGTCTAATAAACAAAAGTGGGTAAGTGATATTTTGGAATGTTTTTTTTTATGCAAATTAGTATTTAAATTATTTTAGTTTGGGATTAATTCACGTTGTTAGTTTTTCCAAATTAGCCTCGAGTATATTTATGAGTGTTCTTGATTTTTTATAAATTTTGAAAAAACTAACGACATTTTTACTTCTGTGTATAAATACTTGTCATTAGGCAAAAACCTTACATTTGCTTTGATGAAGCCCATCAGAGGACTAAACGTGTTGGCTGAGACTAGTTTTCTTTTGCTCTTTATTCATATGTGTGCATGTATTTGTGTATGTATAGACATATGTATGTGTATGTGTGTGTATTAATCAATTGCACTAATAACTGATTGATCACAGAAAAAGTCATTATAAAATAACATGAAAATATTTTAAATAAATACTTTTGAAGTTTCCATATAAATTCTTGTGACACATGGAATTTGAGTTCTTCGTTAAGTTCTTCCATAAGTGTCCTTTTTTTTTGACTGTGTATTTGTCCAATTTTAACTTTCTGATATTCAATTAGGCGTTTCATTACCGGCCCCTTTTCTTGAAAATGATTCCATATCTGCTGGATGATAACGTTTCATTGTCGTATGTGATGGATGTGTCGTCCAAAGAAAGAAAACAAAGTTACTGTTGGCAGCAAGTCTTGAGCTTCTCTTTTTATTTGAGAGATGGCCATTCCCATTGGTTTTGACAAGTCCAAGAGCCGCTCAAGATAGAGCATCACTGAATGGAGTTGGTTTATGGACATAAAAATTGTAAATTCTGAAGATATGTAGGATAGATAATGGTTAACATTAGATTGTAGTTAAAAATTTCATGGCTGGGGAAGCATCTTTCTCCAAGCAGTGGCTTTTGGAAGAAGTTAACTGAATGGGACTTCTTACTTACTAATGGAATACAAAGGGAATAAGGATGATTCATTTCTATGAACATGGCATAGCTGATCGTAGCTGTGAAGGTCTGAACTGGTAGAACTAAAAAATGTAAAATAGCAAAAGAGTACCAATAGATTTGCAATGCTGGAAAAAGGGGTTTAAGGTGGAAAATAATTCATCACCCACAAGGCTGCGTAGACATTTTTGAACCCTGTCGAGACTGATAAGAGAGGATTGTGCAGCTCCAGCCCAGATATACATTTTTGGTCTGATCTGACTCTGGTAAACATATAGCAAATGAGGTGGAATCAGATATAAGGGGTCGACCATTTTTCTGGCATCATTATCAATGGATTGTATATATGAGTTGATTTTTAAGAGATTTATATTTGTGTACTTGTAAAATATGTTCTGCACTTGTCATACTGAATTATAGTCGGCATGTCAATCTCAAAACTGTAATTCTTTATTTTGTTTTCCAAAAACAATGGCTTTTTATTCATCTAAATACTGAACTGGTCATCATTGCTTAACTTTAGTGTTCTAACTAAAGTTTTCAGCATGATTTGACTGTAAGAATATTCCTAATAAGGGACCTTTTCAACAAAAGTGTTAATTTTATTTTATTTTTTCCATAATTTTAAGAACAATTTCACACAATATTTGAGGATGAAACACAAATATTGCATTCGCTCTAATTCATGAAATGTATCTATTTCCAAAGAATATGGATTTTACCATTTCTTGAAATCAGGAATCCTCATACTATGATCCAGCTTTGGTTATAATTTTTGTTTTTAAGAAACTGCAGTTCCAGAATGCTCCAAAATGGTCACTCATCTAAGTACTGAAACAGTTCATCACTTCTTAACTTTGGTGATCAGCAGGAACCAATGTATTCATTATGACTTGACAGTAAGCCTCTCCCGAGAATCCTTGAAAGGGACCTTTTCAAAAAGTGTTTATTTATTTTTATTATTTTTTAAGAGCATTTTTGCCAATTCTTTTCAAAAGTCTCAGATTGGCTCTCATCCATGAAATGTATCTATTTCCAAAGAATATGGATTTTATGGATTTTTCTTGAACTCAGGAATCTTGGCCTTAGAATTCAGATTTGATGATCAAAATTCAATTTTTTTTTTTAAGAAAGACATATCAGAATTGCTAACAAATAAAAGTTGTTTGTGGTTTCTTTCCAAAGACTTTACCATTTTCTTCAGGCCTGCAAGAAATTTTCTTGCCGTGCTTTCTCCTTTACTCCCTTCAGGAACTTTTTTCTCTTTTCGTTGGATGTAGAGCTTCAGTTCTTCTTGGAGTGAATAAGCAGCTGATCGGATCTTGTGCCTGTTCATGTGAGCTCCATTGTCTAATGGTAATAACTTCCAGTAAAGCCTGCAGACTCGTGAGCCAAATGTTGGCCGAAGGTTATTTCTTAAATGGTGCCAATAAACACGAAGCAGTCGATGAAATATTTTCCAGCATGTGGACATATCAGACATGTCCCAAGCAAGCAAGTTTGCATAGTAAAGGATCTTCAGCGTGGCAGGGTCTTTTGGTGTGAGGACTTTTTCAGATACCAACATGGCATGAAGCCGAAGCATTTGGCTGTTCGGGTCATAGTCTTTGAGTTCTTTCTTTAACTGGGCCCGAATCTCAGGCTTAAAATAAGATTTGGGTGAAGAACGAGGGTAGGGAAACTGTAAAAGAAGATGGAGAAGTATCCGGTAGTGATGGCTTCGGGCAGCTGTTTTAAAACAATTGTCACCTTTCACATTCACTACATAGGGGTCAGCACCCTGGCGTAGAAGAAAACAACATACTTCATAGTTTCCAGACTTGATGGAACGGTGCAAAACACTGTCACCATTACCGTCCCGGTCACCCAGTGTGGCGCCATGACGAAGGAGTAATTTGGTCATTTCTAAATTCCAGATGCTTTTCATCAGTGGGGTTTCCATGAGAAAACTGACATAGTTTACCCAAGCCCCTTGTTCGATCAGGCAAGCTACAATGTCTAAATGTCCTTTTTCTGCTGCTATGCACAGAGCCGATGTCCTCAGGTTTTCCCAACCACAATTCACTTTTGCTTCATGTCTTAAAAGAACCTTGATCACTTCTAAATGACCAAGGCGAGCAGCTTCATGGAGTGCTGTGATGTATCCGCCATTTGCATTGTCAATAGCCTGGTCTGCGGAAACAACACCATTTTCTAGGAGGTAGTTGACAAGGTCAGCCTGGTTGTGTCGTACTGCCTCAAAGAAGTAGTCATTACGACGGATCTTGA